ATCAGTTAATCAGCAAACAGAAAAGCAGTAGATTATACAATATCTATTTAAAGGTGCCTACGACACCAGCAGCTTCTGAAGGACAAGGGACTTGCTCACAAAGCAGACACATCACATGCAACAATACTAAAGACATTTCACCACCCTCAATTTTTTATAAGGAAATAGAAATCAAAGTTCAAGAGCCTCTTAGGTGTTTTGAAAAGAAGGGAAAACAAAGTTTTTGACAACATAATGTCACTTAACAAGACACTGGGGAAAAGATGTGAGCAACACTACAAGTACACAGCTCAGCTAGAGACAAGAATGAAACTAATGTGCAGGGCCTCAAAAGAAAGCAGCCTATGGGGAAGGAGACAGGAATTAATTAGTGTGGGTGAGGGAGCACCATAACTCTGGCACAGATTTTGGTGAAGAGAATGAGCATATCAATCAGGCTCGAGTCTTTAAAACAGATTTAGCAAGACACTCAATCGAAAGAAACGCTATCAGGAAACTGCATTACCTCACACTGCAACTGTAAGGAAACAGGAGCCACTACTGAAAAAAGGAACAGTTTAAGGTGGGGAGGGTATGAGGAAACCATTAAGAACTTCCTTTGGGCTTGCACAGAGCCAACCCAAAAGTCAAAACCTGTCAGAAAGCAACAGATATTACCCAGAATCTGTGCAGCCTAACAGAGGAAACACTACAGTGCTGAGCTTACTTCTGAGACAAACAGAAGCTGAAACAGCACACAAGCAAAAACATCAGTGGGGAGAACAGCCTCTTAAAATTTATGTGGAGCCCAGCAAGAAAGCTTGGTGACTCCCACAGTAATGTTCCAGGTACAGGAGCAACTAATCAGATGCTGATCTCGATCTCAGACCTAAGAACAAGAGACAGACTGGAGAAAAAAAAGCACCTGAGAAGACTCATTAGGAAGAGAGGTACCCAGAGGGAAGAAGGTGGGTGATAAGCCCATTAGAGCATCCAAGCCCATACAGCTCCAAACAGAGAAATCCCAGGAATTCAGAGGTGGGAGTCTTTATAAAGCTCAAACATTAGCAGGCCTCAGTTTCCTGCAGCATGCCACCATCCACTGATACATCAAATATTCATAGAAAATAACTTTTTTGAACAACCTTCAGGATATAGATCAGACACAAAACACAGCAGGTTGACCACTGGGGTTATTGCTTATAGGCCAGGAAGGGCCTTCAGTGAAGAAGAAACATCTAAAATTACAAACTGCTGAAACACTTGTGCACCTCAATGTGAGCTAGGAGCCACCAGAATGAGCTTCCACTGACAAGCAAGGAGTGCAGCAGGAGGAAGAGAATGAACAGAACAGCACTCAAACAGGAACACCAGAGGTTTTTCAGCATGGAAATCAATGGCAGGGGAACAGGGCTGTTTGCCACCCTTAAAGCAGCACCTTATACCATAGACAATGGCATCACTTCCAAGCCCACAGTCTTAGTTTGCCCATCAGAAATAGCAAGACCTATAATTCTAGCCACTTTTCACTCATAGGATGCATTACTTTGAAGCACTGAATTCTTCTTTGCCATCAGAAGGGAATTTCAGATTTGGCAAACAGAACAGGAAGAGAGCAACTCGCACTATTAAGTTGTTCCAATCCCTTGGGATAGCATAGGAGCTTCTACTCCTTTGAAATAAGAGTCTAAATGTCCTAATCCAGATTAGAGCCAAGTCTGTTCTCAATCTGTGTATAGTTTAGACTCCTTTTTTGTGGGCTTTATTTTGTTTGGTTTTTTTAATTGAATCTTCAAAAGTTAATCCAGATTAGTAAAAGAAACTTTTTGGAGGATATTTTCAAAACACTTAGGTGGAACATTTTGACAATGCTAAAATCAGATTCTGAAAAACATCTAGTAAGGAACTGATCAAAACTCCTTCCTGAGAGTTTACTCCACCTTTACATGTGAAAACATTAGCTAGTTTCAGCTAAAGAAACAAACTTACAGATTCAATTCTTCACTTTATATGGAGGTGACCATACAACTTGCATCACAATTACATAGATTGTTCTAATCTAGTTAGATGAATTTTGTTGTACATGGAGCCTCAGAAGTGTATTCATCCCCACAAAGCAGCCAGAATTAGTATGAGAATTGCTAGCAGAATTACAGCAGTGCCAGTTCTCCAAAATCAAACACAGAATTTATGCAATATTCTGCTGTCACAGACCTGATGATATAGCCACCCTTTCATCACATAAAGGGTAACGGCATCCTAATTAAGAACTGAGGCCTTATGTTCCACAGAAGCAAACTAATGAATTGACTATGAAGATGTCATAAAGTGGGATGTGACTCTGATATTTTGCCTTGTGGATAAACCAGTGTCAGTAAACAATTTATTTAATGCAGAAGTCATGTGCTATAGGCTGCAGTGGATTTATAGCTGCTTGCATTTCAGAACTGTCGTGTCTCCACAGAATAACTGTCGCCCTGGCTATCATTCCAGCCTGCTATACTGCTGCTGGAACCATAAACATATTCTCATTAGTGGTCCATGGCAATTTATATCACAGAATAGCTTGTGTCACACCATAGACTGAAGAGCTGCTGCTGTGCAGCCAAATGTTAGCTTTTTTAACCAGATCTGGAACAATCTGGCTACTTTGTCACAACAAAAATACCTGATCTATGTAGGGAAAGATATATAGGTGTCACATTATTCATTGTTTATAGAATGAAAGGGTCAAATTCCACCAGTATCCTATAATTACCTTGACAAACTACCAAGTAAAGATTTTTGATGCCTACTGCCTAAATTATCTAAGTTTTAGTTTACCTATAATTCCTGAAGTAACACTGAATGGCTACCAGGCCAATAGCACAAACAAGAAGACAAAATTGGAAGTCTTTATCTGCTTTGAAAGTTGAAGGTCAACATATGCAAAAGATATTTCAAGCTTCCTTCCACTGTCTTTCTGAAGACAATAAAATTGGGTCCCCAATGAGATTTTCTAACAACTACCTTGTTATTATGCAGTAAACATGCACAAGAAGGCCTTGCTCAGTTTAAACAGAATGAATCTTCTGGTGAAGGAGAAAGCTGCAGTGAAGGACAGGCAGCTCTTCCTTGTCAGAAGTGAGAAATTAGTTTAATATACTGTGCAAAAGAAAGACAGAAGGGAAGGAGAGATCCCCTCATTAAATGCTCACCATTTGAGCCCTGCTTAATATGTTGACTGATAACTAGTGTACGCAGTTGCAACAAGCAGAGGCCATTCCAAACAATGATGCCCATCTGTTATGGTAGCACTTCAGTCTTAGAACTTCCAGCTGCCACTTTGGGTTAGATGTGCCACATTATGCACAGCCTGGCCTACCAAATGAGGACAGGCTGCACACCCTGCCCGTGACTTCTGCACCTTCAGCATCACCCTGTGTGTGCAGTGACAGCCTGAAGGCTCAGTGACAGGGACTGAGCAGGAGTGCACGTGCTCAGGGAAAAAAGAACAGGAATGAACCTATTCCAGAACACAGGCAACTCAAGGTTCAAAAGCACCATGCTTTCAACACACACAGCATCCAACAGAGACACCAAAAGCATATGCCTTTTCAAGAATGTGGAAAGCACACAAATGGAACTAGAGGACACCAGTAAAACTAGTTTTGACTTTTTAAGTTGGTTCATGCTACATGCCTTACTGAGAAATTCAGCAATAGTCACTATCAACCTCCACTGCAGGACTGAGTTTCACAGGTAGAGTGACTTTACAGAAATATTCCTTTGTTCTGCAGATAAAGTCTGTTTTACCATACCACCACGAGCATCAAATATACACTTCCAAATTCTAATCAGGAACCCCTTACTTTGTCTGATAATTACCCGTGTCAATGGGAATAGAGCTGATTAAGAGAAAAGGGGAAGCTTTCCTCTTTCCCAGAGGACAGAGAAGTAGAGACATGACTGCAAAGAGAACCACCTCAAGACATGATCCTGTCTGCATGCTTAAGGAGCACATGTACAAGGTACATAAGCACATGACTGCACTTTTGCACCTCTCTAGAGAAGTGAATGCAGAGTAGGTCTAAAGGCTTGACAGGTGCACCCTTGCAACCCCAGGACAGCTCAATTTACTTCAGCGCTAACATTAATGCTTCAGACCAACACAGGCCTTGTATCTCACAAAGGCTTCAAAAATACATATATGAACTGAATTGCTCTGCGCACACCACCATCAACCAGGGCCATCATCAACCCTTGCCCACTGCTATGCAGCATGTGGCAGCAGCCTACCTGTTTCACCACGCTGCCATAAATAATGGGGTACTGCAAAGTAAGGCCAGGCTTAAGGAAACCGACAAGATTTACATGTAAGGCCAATTCAATTACCTGTTTTTCGCACGGCTTTTTTCTAGTCATCTCCATTTTGGCAATTTCTTCATCGGGATCCTGTAAGAACTACAAAAAGCGACATATGATTTCCGGAGTACAAACCGCGGGACAGGCAGCTGTTGGCCGCCGTGACACGCGCCTGGTCCCGCAGGAGCACAGCCCCGCAGGCCCACCCTGCGCGGCCACCGCGTGGGGCCCGCACCCCCAACAAAAGGCGGCGAGGGGCGGGGGCCCAGCCCGGCGGGCGCTGCCCCGCGGGCACCGGGCCGGGCCCGCACTCACCGTGGCCACATCAGCTTTCCTCTTGCGGGCTCGCATGGCGTACTCCGCACCCGCGTCCCCCCTGGCAGGACCCTTGTCGTCCGCGCAGTCGCTGCGGAGAGAGGGGAAGCTGAGCGAGCGCCGGCCGCGGGAGCCTCCCGGGGTGCCCGGCGGGTGCTCGGCCTGCAGGGCCCCGCGCAGGGCGGGCCCGGCGCACTCACCTCTCCCGGCGCATGGCACCCGCCGCGGCCAGCGGGGCGAGCCGAGCGCCGCGCGGAACGGGGCCGAGCGGGCCAAGCAGCAGACCCCCCGACAAAGGCCGGCAGAGGCGCGCAACGGGCGGGACGCGGAAGCGGCGGGAGCGGCTGTGGCACGTGGGACCGCGCCGGGGTGAGCCCAGCGGAGCCGGGCCGAGCCGGGCCGAACGGCTGAGGATCCTGTGCCGGTGCCGGTCCGCGGCGGGAGGCGGGGTCGCCACCATGACCTGCCCGGCCTGGCTCGGCTCACGCCCTCCTTCCCTCCCCGCAGGCCATGCAGCGGCCCGGGCTGTTCGGGCGGGTCAAGGCGGCGGTGGTCGGGATGGTGCACGTAGGAGCGCTGCCAGGTAAGCGGCGAGCACCGGGTCTGGGTAGCCGGCGTCATTCCTTGGCCCGGCTGCGGTCCCTCTGGAAGGCTGTCCCTTCACCGCCACCACGGGCCCCTCATGAGGCGCCGTCAGTTCGGGCGCTCCCCGCTTCTGAGGTAAAAACGGCGGGAAACAGTTCCACACAGGGACCTGGGCTGAGGAAACCAGGATTTGGGCTCGGTGAGCTCTGTGTTGGAGGAAGCGAGGGTTGGGGAGTTGCTCGGATGGGCTTTGGGGTAGGATGGAGGTTGGATAGAGCTCTCTCGTGCCCTCGAGGGCAGTGGGAGGCTCAGACAACAGGCGGGATCTGTTCCAGCCTGGCCTCCTCGTCCGCCTTTCCAGGGGCCCAGGGTGGGCAGAGCTGCTCAGGAGAGCCCACCTTGCCCTCGGTGGCTGATGCCCGGAGCTCAGGCTGCCCACGTTTCCCCAGAAGCAGCCCCCAGGCAGTACGGCTGGGAAATCAGGCCAGCTAAAAGAGCTGACACGGGGCTCAGCGCAGTCCCCGTTTCAGACTCCCACTGCCTGACCTTAGAGCCCAAATATCAGAAGAGACTTTGGTCTTAAGGCAAATTCATTGAACTCCAACAAAATCTGTGTGTGTTTCTGCCATGAAGATCAGATCCAATCACCCTTGCAGATTAAGGACAGCTTTAACTGGCTTTAAACTCATTGTTGTTTAGCATAGGTGTTCTATGCTGACATAGAGGTCAGTCTTGCCCATGGGTTGTATTGTCTGGAGCATCACTAATGCAGGATAAATTACAAGTATGTGAAATAGCAAGCTAAGAGCACACCTAGTGCAACAGGGGATTATAGCAGACATTCCTCAAGTTTGTGAATTAGATTTAGGAGCTGAATGGTTGCAGCAGCTCTGCCAAGTTCAGCTAAGGAGAGAGATGTCACTAACATATGTCACAAGGAGATAGGGCAGCCTTTGAACAAACCCTGTATGTCCCTGTTTCAGTGTGCAATCCCCATGGATGTCCTGGCCAAAGCTGTTGCTGTCCATGGGTTTGGTTTGTGCATGCCCTGGGGTAAGCAGCATTATTCTTGCAGGGACACCAAGAAGTTCTCTTCCATTGACCCAGATCATTGATCAAGCTTGTCAAGAGGCAGAAGTTTACAAGGATGCTGGAGTTGTAAGTTTTGGTTTCTTGCTTCCCATGATGGCCATTACACAAAACCACTTCTGCATAGCCAGAATTTTAAATGAACATATAGGTAATCAAAAGCATCCTGAAGCTTATCAATTAGGGAGATGCTTGAATCCATGTCATTTGTTTCAACATAGGAAGTAGGCCTTGTAGATTACAAAAAACCCTTAAGGTAAGTATCACCTGCACCCAAAACAATTGAAGAAGCTTAGATTCAAATAGTACAGTTCAAATTGTTTGAGTTGGATGAATCAAGTCAATTTAAGGATTAAGAAAAAAGTGGCCAGAAATATGGGCTGTTGCTGGCATTCAAGGTCTCTGGCTGTAGAATGTTTCATCAATCTAGTCTGACAAGCAACTGTATTTTTAGCTCTGTGCAAGCCTCTGGTTTCCTGAGGTCATGGAGGTATGCCATGTGCACAGCTGATACACTGCATGCATACCTCAGGAACCTGGAGGTGCAGGATCACCCCACAGCTCTGTTTGTAACAAAACAGCGCAGATAATTCAGGATCTAAAAAAAAAGGCTCAGGCCCTTTTCTGCCCTCTCTAAGCCTCTCTCCAGGCCCCTGGCAGCAAACATGCCTGCTTTGCACGTCCAGAAGAGCAGGCCCAAAAGGCCATTCTCAGCCAGAGGCAAGAAGAGACTGCTGTCAGAATTGCTGTTAGACCTAAAGTGGTGTAGTAATCTTCATAGGTCAGTAGATTTTAACAGGGTGTATGTCCTTTTGAAAGGTCAGATATCTTTTAAACATTTCATTACACCTTGTCTTGGGGTGTTGATGTGCTTTTTCTTTGACCTGCCCACAGCATTATGAACATTTTCTGGTGGTGTACTAATGTCCAAGGTTTGAAAATGTCTTCAGTGAACAAACAGTCACTGCTCCCAGCTGCTGTTTTCAGAAAAAAACTTTATTAACAAGCAGGTTGAAGCATTTTTAATCTATAAATTAGAATGACACTATTCAGAAAGAACAAAATTGAATACCATAAAAGACCAAGGTCAAAATGCAAGACAAGTCACACAAGGTAGGTTATGGGCAGAGCCCTGGTGAGGCTAAACTAGGAAAGGATGCTGAGAATAGAATAATTGAAAGGATAAACAGCACTGGGGTAAAATGATGCTAACCTGGTGGGCTTCAGTACCTGTGAACCAGATTAACATGTGTGAGATGTCCACCCAGTTAGAATAGTCCCTGACTGCAAGCTGAACAGAACAAGGAAGTTTTCTTCCTTTTCATTCCTCCTGAAAGAACAGGGGTGCAATAACTCTGTATTCTGTACTATGCCCTTATATCTTGTTGTTGCAGTATCACCATGAGGTATAACGTGGTTCGATCTACATCAGAAGAGTGGCAAACACTAATCTCTGCCTTCCTGTGCCAGAGGAAGTGCTTGCACAGATAATCTGTAACTCATAAAGCCATTGCTCCACACTGCAGTGCCTGTTTGCCCATTTCCTTACATAATAATTACACACTGAAACCTTCAACAGCAGGGGGAAGACACCAAATACTCCTGAAGGTGAAGGAAGGTACAGAAGCAGTTACTGCCACTGCTGGCATGCACAAAGCTGGAGCAACTTTGAGATAAGCTTTAAAATCAGTACTAACAAAAAGTTTTAATTTGGCTTTTATACTTCGTCTTTTCAACAGTTGTACTGAATTCTGCAGTTCCAGCTCCAACTGGTTTACCTTTTCTGCAAGTGCCTTGCAGTCTCTGAACTTGAATATGTCTTTAAACCTGCCTGTCAGGAGACACGTGAGGTGAATGCAGTCATTTGTCTACACATTTGGACAAATTCAGGGCTTAGAGTTGTAATTAACCCATTTTCCTAGAGAAGTCACAGGAACATCAATATACTTCCACACCAGTCTTCATTCTAAAGGTCTGGACAGTGTTAGAGAATAGAACAGAGTTAGAGCAATATAACAAAAAATCTTTTATTAGGGAGATAAGTTTCAGACATAATCAGGAGAGCATCCATAAATACCAACAGGGTTGCTTAACACTTTCTGCAATTCAATTCTTTAGTTTTTTGTGTTACTTTAAGAGAAATGCAAGTTTTCATCATAGATGCTTTCAGGAGCTTCACAATTTTTACACAGAGATCACTACTGCCAAACTATTCTGGAATGGGAATATATTTGGGTTTCTTGCTCAGTATTCCAAAGGAGCTGTTAAGCTGTCTGTTCTTCTTGTGGAAGAAGAGCTAGAGAAAGCTATCTTCCCATGGATGTTTGTACTGACAGTGTTCCCAAATGCTGCCCACAGTAGCCCTTAAGAAAATACATAACCATTTGCTGCTATTTAGATGTTTACATATTGTCTCAAACTGTTCAAATTGGTGTTAACATTTAAAAATAAAGTATATGGTCTTGTTCACTCCATCTGTGTTGCACTTGGAAGTAAATCCTGGTATATTCAGAGTAAGGTGACTTGTCTGGCACATTCACAGCTTCACATAATAAATATGAAAGATTTGTGATATTAGAACATAGTAATGAAAACAAGTGAGTGCTCAGTTAGGAAGCCATCTGTGCTCAAAATGTATACGCTTTGTACTTTTGTGTTGCTAAACAATGAAATTCCCTAGACAAGATTTTATAAGCAGCAGGCTATGAGGCGTTATAATCCCTCCAATTTGTACCTGCTTTTCTTTAAGGAAGAGACAAAATGTATCTATTCAGGTTAACTTTTATTCATTCCACTCAACCTGGCTGACATTTGTTTTGTAGCTAGAAAACGGAGCACAGGTTCCCACTTGACTGTTAGTTACTGTTCCTAACTGGAGTAGCTGACATTAAAAACAGTTACTAGTACATGTTTTACATTGATGTTTTTAAAAAATAAGAGTGGTAAGCCTCTTGGTCTTGCAACTACAGTGATAACTGTAATTCACAACTTAGAATTTAATAACAGTGGAGACAGAATAAAGTAGTATTTCTGCATAGAAACATGCAGGTAGTTTTCACTTTGATTACAGAGGTTAACATTTCAAATCTCAGCTGTATTACAGGAAAATAAAATAGCAGACAGACTACCCACAGCTACCTCCTCTGGCATGTGCAGGAGAACATGAGATAGCACCTTACTTCTGTTAAGGCAGCCATCTGCTCTGGAGGTGAGTTTTTAAATAAGTTGCTTATAGCTGTGCTTACAAACAGCAATTAAATGCTCTGCAAAGGCACCTGATTTCCTCTGCAAGGGGCACATGAGGTAATTGCTGCCATTGTCTTAGTCCCCACCTGAGCCTGTGTAATAACAGGGATGGTGCCAGGCCTGCTCCCTTTCTGGAGGAAGGAGTAGAGGTGATGAGTTTGGAGATATTTGTACTGAGGTGCAAATGTCAGCAGCTAAAGCCTTTCTCTGGGGAGAAACACTGGGGTTAGTTGCCCTGGGAAAAAGTTACGTTAGGTATATGCTGGGTTAAAACTTGTGCAATTGTTACCTCATTTGAGGTTTGTTGCTGTTTTGAGGCTTTCCTGCTGTAATATGTGCGAGGCTGAAGTGTTTTAAGAGGTTATTTCTGTAAGCGGAATACAGCTAAGGAAATTATTTTTATATAGCTAGAGAGGTAATTAAAGGACCTATTTTTCAGTAGCTAACTGTGTTACAAAGGGCACTCACTTCATGTGTAGCACTTCAGAAGTCATTCAAAGTAAAAAGGAAATACATTGTTTGAAAATTACTTATAATAAGCTTGCTGCATATGAGCAACACTTAAATTATCTTAACATTCAATGGAAAAGGAGCACAGAAGGCACTTGCAAGAGTTTTATCTCATACTATCTACGTAAATCCTGCTTTACAGGATATAATGCAGAAGCTGTTTCCATAGGCTTCTAAACCATAAGCTTAAGTTCCAAGAACTTTAATTTAGCGTAACTGTTTTCTTTCCCCCATTTTAATTAGCTGTCTGATAGTATTGAAGTTTGTTTCCTATACATAGCAACTCAGTAAACACAAATCTGTGGTGTTATATTTTTATATAAAATATGAAAGAAAGCTTTGACTTAATGCATCTGTAATTCAGCATTCTGTATTTCAGAACATATGTTGTTCTCTTTTTAATTAAACAAAGCATAATATGCAAAAGAACAGTTGGATGGCACCAAAAGAATAACACATTATTAAAGTTCTACCAAAAATATTCACTGTAACTGTGGACCTTGAGGCTATAGGAAGAGGCAGTTGCTGAAAAGTGAATGTAGTAAACTTAAAGCAGGAGAAAGAACTGTTGCAATCCTCCCATATGCCTGCATTTTGAGTTAGACTTTAATGAGACACTTTTTATGTGTAGTACTATGGCTAGGGGTTTTTATAACTTATTAAATGAATTAATTCATTAGAGTAACTAATGGAATAATTTGCTTTATGCAAATCCAGAATGGTCAAAGTAGTAGCAAGTTGTGAAAAACTGAGTTTCACAGTGGAATTCTGTCAGCCTAATCTCTTGCTTTTTTGGCTACTAATGTGGCTCTTCAGGAGCTGTGCATTTTGAAGCCCCATTCCCAGTTGTCTTTCTTCCTGTTGAGATTGATGCTTCACTGCCTGGAAGGCTGGGGATGCTGTTTTGCAGATCCTGGTTCCTGGCCCTTATGATAAGCTTGGAGTTTCCCTGATACCCAGATTTTGCTGAAATCTGCCAAGAAGAGCATTTCTGAGCCAAGGGCTTCCAGGCTTTTTGGCCTCAAGAAATTACCTGGTTTTGATGGTTGCTTGCATTTTTTTGAATTTGCTTTGCTAAAGTATTATAGTTCTATGTTAGTCCTTTTGCCATATGCAACTACTGACCAACTTTGCATTCTTGCTGAGACTGACTTAATATATTTATGTGTAGTGAGAACAAGAGGCTACAGGGATTCTATTCCTCTTGGTACCACAAGGGATTCAGTAACTGTGCCTCAGATACCAAGACCATTTGGTCAGTTCAGGTTTGTCAGAAGAGTCCTAACCTCATTCCAGAAAAAATTACTAAAAATTGGGATTTTTTTGGGTGGTTTTCTTAGGACAGGTTGTCTTTTTTGCCATATGGCTACCTCCCATCACAGGTACAGAAGTGTGGATGTTCCATATTGAACTGGACACACAGAAAAAGTCAAGTGCAGATGTTTTGGTTGGTTGCCATACCTGGTGCTCCTTTGCCTAATTCAGGTTTTCCTGGGCTGGAATTATGTAATTAAGTACGTTGGTGAATGGCATCACAAAGTGCAAAGGTCTGATGTGGAGTGTCATCATATCAGGTCACCTTTTCCATGAACGGGTCACGTCCCATTGCTTTTTTGGTAGCATGTCTTTTGTGTATTTAAATACTGAGCTGTGAGTAATTGGAGAAGGCAGCTGTGCCCTGGTGCATTGAATGTTTGCAGGTTGTGTGCTTGGTCTCACCATGTTGCTCCACTGGGTTATTTCCTTCTCACTTTTCCCCAGCCTCTGTGTTGGGTGTTCATTTCTGATGCCTGTGCCATAGCCTGTAATTCAGCCATTAAATGCTGACACTGTTTTAGATACTGTCTTATCTTTTACTGCCAGAAGGGCTTCCACACTACAACAAAGATTAGAGAAGTGTCACATATAAAAGATTTTTTTAAAGAATTTTTTTTTGTTTCCCCTTCCTGATTCTCTGTGTTATTAAGAACCAAGCTGCTGTGTTTAATCTCTAGTTGTATTTTTTTCCCCAAAAAAATGTTCCATTCTTATTCTGTTGCAATATCTATGAAAGGTAAAGCTCTCATTTTAAAGGATTAAGATGTGTGATAAAACTCCAGAAAGAGCAGAATTTATTTGCTATACGTGCAATTAGTTTGTCTATTAAACTTTTTGCATTTTTAGAATTAAGCTGGTGAGAAATATCTGATTTTCTTTTCATCTTCTTACTGCTAATGCAAAATACTAGGCATGGAATATGTTTCAAGGCTCTACTTTTACTATTGTTATTAATCCTTAACAAAATGATGTATTATCTGCAGTTGTTGCAAAGTTTTTAGTATAGCCTATGGAATGGTTAGAAATGTGTGTGGCACCAGGTAATGCACAAATTGTATCAGCAGAGTGTTTTATCATCACTCCATTGTTTGCCAAGAGTATGTCCATGTGGATGGAGAGGTATAATAGACAACAAATAGCAATATCTTCTTTCCAGTAATTCTGAATACAGAACGGGAGAAATATCACTAGTTCATATTATGGCATTTGGCACAATAATGGTCAAACAAAAATTACTTTATTTATCCAAAGTAACACTTATTTTCTTACATTAATTGAATTGAAAGTTGCCCTGATTATCTCAGAGTCCTCTGTTATCTGAACATACTCAATATCCTGTATTCCCCTTGGATAATTGAAGTTTGACTTCACACTATTTCTAATGAGGTATAAGATTTAACTCATTTGCCTATAGTTCACATTTTAGGATGGATCAAAGGAACCCAAATTGATGAATGTATAATTAAAATCACATTTATTTCTCTTCATGATTTCACTGCAAATACCATGCTGTTGATGAAAGCACTTTTATAAGTGGTCGTGCGCATCAAATGCATCGACACAACTTGCTGTAGATAATCTTCCCTTTGAAGGAAAACCCTTGCACTTGTGTGTCTCAGTGCACAATATATAATGGTGAATTGGCCACGTCAGTACAGTGCAATGATACTTTTTCTCATTCTTTCCCCAGGATGGGCTGATCCTGGAGAACATGCACGACGTGCCGTACACGGTGCGCCCGGGCCCGGAGGTCACCGCAGCCATGGCAGTGCTCGGTGCTGCCGTGAGACACAGCTGTCCCCGTGTCCCTCTGGGTGTCCAGGTGCTGTGTGCTGCCAACCAGCAGGCAATAGCCATTGCTCTGGCTGCAGGTAATGCAAAGGGCTCTTCAGGTATTGCTGCTGTTGCTGTGGCATTCTCTCTCCACAAACTGCACCTTGTGCAGACATGGGCACTGTGGAAAGCTGACTGTGCCCTGAGAAAGCAGCAGCTGTGTTCTGAGAAAGATGCCTGTTTAATTAGAGTGGGTGGTATTTGTGAACTGCTTCAATTGGAGGCTGCTAAAGGCTGCCACCACAGCTTTCTAGGTGAAACCTGTCTAAATGTAATCATTAGTTTAAATCTGCTGGTGTCTAAAAGCCACCTTTGGTGTAGCTCTTGTTTACTTCAGTTATATCGTATGTGAGGATCAATTTAACCCATGGGGTTTAAGCATCCTGTTTCAGCATCTATTTATATGTTGTTGCTGCTACTGTTGTCCATGAAAACTAAGTTTTCATTGTCTGTTTTAGTGAATGAGTAGAATGAAACTTTTTATATAATGACAAAAATTGAGTGTACAGATAGCCAAAGTACTTAAAATTAAGTTGCTTTTGAGAGAATTAAATATAAATTAATCTATCCTTATTGCATGAATCCTAGATTTGTCTAAACTTCCTGCTCTTCCTGTTTGCTGAAGCAATTTTAGTTTTTCATATGTAACCCTCCCTGATGTAAAGGTGTAGGCTGGAAAGCCTGTACTTCCTAAATTCACAAAATGAGGGTTAATGCATGTTTTTGCCCAAATTGACTGTCATTATGGTAAAGCTGCACATTTTTGCATGTACAAATTATATAGAACCAGGCAGAAGATACTGGTGTTAAGTGAAAGCCATACTTCAGGTACAATCATGTAGGCTAACCTATCTGCATTGGCAGTTTTAATTATGCCTAATATGTTCTAAAAGCTTTAAATTCTTGTTAATAGATGTGTTTTGAACTGGCATTTGTTTTGTGAGCTTTAAATCAGATGTTGCCATTTTCAAAGCATCTAACCACTTGACAAATTGAGAAAACCTAATTTTTATTGCTGCATTGGAACCTATATGAAAACCTCAAATAAAAATGGTAACAAAATCCATTTTTAGTTTTTAGAGGCTGCTGCAAGTGGGCCACTGGAGGTGCATAGGTATTTGGAAAAATAGCACATACCCTATTTTTAAAAGCAATCCTTTGAGGAGCAAAAATCATCACTAAATAAGGGATATGGTCTGGGAACAATGTATTTCTCTTCTTTGCAATTATTAATGAAGGGGAAAATTCCTGGAGGGCTTGAGTTTTGCTCAGCTCCACTACTGTTCTGCACTATTTCCTCTGTAACTGTGGAACACCAACCAGGAAGGGCCTGTGTTTAATGCATTTCATTGCACTTCTCTAAAAATGATTGTCTCAAGTTCACTGAACAGGGAAGCAAAAAGAAAATCACTTAAAGCAAAACCATAGTAAAGTGGGTGCTACTTTTTAGATAGCAAATCTTAAAATAGCTTTTTTGTAGCAACTTAGTAGCAACTTTAATGTCAATACAGTTTTGATAGGTAGCTATTAACAAAGGAAATCCTGTATGCTCTCACTACAAAAATAACTTGTTGAAGGTGTTCTAGCTGAAAACCATATGTAGCCTCTTCTGCCTACTGTACAATCATTTCATTTTCCCTGTGGAGGTCCCTGTCTTTGGTAGGAATGACGGTTCTTAAGAGAGCCACACAGGGAATTTATAACTGGTCTCTAGGAGAAGGTAATGATTTTATTTGATAAAGGGTGGGGGGAAATCCACAGGTTTGCAGTGGGGCTAGGAGCTCAATGAGCTTGAGCAAGGACTGTAGGGTCCTGTGGCTTAGTGAGCCTGGGTCACTCATCATGAATCAGGGCTCAGTTTTTAATTTATCTTACCTCATAAATTTACAAAAAAATGTTTCAGTTGGAAGGGACTTTAAACAGTCATCTAGTCCAACTGCCTTCTCTACCTGAAGCTGCCCTTTTCCCTTTAAGAATCAATTACTGAAATTCCAGTTCTGGATCAGTCTTTGTCAATGATGATGATAAATTGATAGCTGATAAATGAGGCTTCATGTCAGGAGATATCCCAGATGTCTCCATGTCTTTTGCAAACACAGCTTTTCTGTCTGAGCCCATTCCTTTCCCTCCTGCACCAGCTGAGTGGGAATTCATTTGCTATCACCCACAACACTGTTTAGGATAAGACAGAATTAGGCAGAGCTGTGTGCTATGGTTTTTGCTGTCCTTTTTAAGTGCCACCATATTAATGCAGAGGTGAGGGAGGCAGCTCAGCTGAGAACTGCAGCAGGGAGCACCCAGAGGTGCTGTGAAAGGCAGGGAGTGCTGTGCATCCTGCTGGGAGAGCTGCTGGAGACCCTGCTCCTGTGCCTGCAGCCCATGCTGAGCACAGCAAGAGCTGCTGCAAGACAGTGTCCTGAGAAATGTTTTTGCAGCACAGGCACACTGTGCCTCCAGTGTCAACAGCAAAGTCAATGCCCCTCTAAGCGTTCTGTTTATTAGTTTTCATTGGATATTCCCTATTCTTGTTTTCCAGTGAAACTACAAAATGTGTTGTTCCCATGTAAGTCAGAAATGGGACTGCCTATTAACTATTCAATGGCTATTACTTTTCAACTTGCCAAATGTGAAAGTAAGCAGTAGTATCATTCTCACAATTTTATGAGCATAAAAATGAATTCATTAGCAGAATCTGATTATGGCTTCATAAAAGAGAAGGGTAATGATATGGTGCCTGCACCTATTACACTTGGTTAAAAATTGTATTTTCATGGCCTCCAAAAACCCAGATGGAGAGTGCAGCCTTGTTAAACTAAGTACGATCCAATGTTCAGCAGAAAGTCTTATATTACTGCACTAAGGAAACACAAACCAAGCATCAACAAACAATGTGTAAGCAGTGACTTCAATAAAAGAAATTACTCAATGAATAGCTCCTGTCCCAAGTTAAACCTTCATTGCTGTGGAAGTGTTATGTCTCTAGGCTCATCCACAGTTTTATGATCAGGGAAATAATTATTCTTATATAACTCTGAATTGTACTGTAAGCTTGAGTGATGTAATTAGAAGCTATAGCTTTTGTTCCTAGATGTAGAAATCTCAGTTTAGCTATTTGCACTGTGTTTATCACCCAGTGTCTACAAGCACCTGCAATGGTACTTGTGGCACACTCTTGTCTTTGAATCCTGGGAATACTCCATGCTTTGCACTAATCTCAAGGCACAGGACAGCTTGCATTTGATTTGGCATCCATCTGTGATGTTTCTTGTGAGCTGGAGTCTGTGTTGCTAAGCAATGCAGGCTCTTCTCTATCAGGCGTAAGCTTCTGTTTCTGCAACTTCAGGGCTTTTGGAATGAAACTGGAATTTTAAAATAAACAGACACCTTGTCATTTGGTAAATAGATTTTCAAGATCAGCTATGTTTATAGTTGGAATGTGCTAAGGTAATGCCTCTGTTGCCTAATCAGTTGTGGGTAGGATTGCATTCTTGATGACTGTTTCCACATGCATTGCTTTCCTTTGAATGATGTCAGCTCTAATTAAATGTGCATCTGACTCCAAAGCTGGAGCAGTAGCAGAGCTTCAGAAGGGCTTGGAAGACACCTCCAAAGCAAACTGGAAGAGCAGCAAAACTGCACAAGATGAGTGCAGAGGTTTTACAAAAATGTGTAAAAGAGGAAGGTTTTAAGTGACAGTTCAAGGCTACGAAAGACAGGAGAGAAGTGGGGATTGCAATAAGGGAGTCAGAATTGAATCTTGTGCCTCACTGCTGTGGGCTTATTGCTCTGTGGTCCAAGGCTTCAGTCTTACAACAGAGATATCTCAAGGCTGTGGAGGGTGGCCCTGAATGTCAATGATGGCCCACATGAAGTAATTACAATTCGTAATCTTCCTCTTTAGCATCCATTCCACAAAACCTTCCACAAAACTTCATGAATGTGGTAGAACCTGTGTTACTAAGGCATGGCAGAATTGATGGCTGGAGTAGAATAGCAAATGTTTGACTCTTCCTAAGCCCTTGGCACAGCTCTAGAAGCAATTTGTTCATGTGGTGCTGCGTAGGAAACACATGCTACGTTCAGATGGAGTCACATGGGTTGCATATAACATGTTTCAGGCTGGGTTTTCTTGCCTAATTTCCTAAAGATGACAGTGCTATTCCTCTGTGTCTGTAGCCTGGAAAGGGGTAAGAGATGCAGGTTAGTGACCCTTTTTGGAGAGAAAACGTGTCATTAGAATAGAGAGCTGTGTTATGACCCATAACAGGGCACATCATGGCAGCAGACAGGGCAGGGTGTGCAGCTGCCTGAGCCACACAGGGACAAACTGAACGGGAGAGAAGGGGACCAGGGCCTGGGGGAAAACTGGTGGGGTCAGTGGGAGAGATGGGAGCTGAGGGCAGTGAGAGATGGGAAGAAGTCAGAGAGAATAGGGGCAAAAATAAAGAATGGAAAGTATGTGGAAAAGTGAGGTGGCTTAGTCCTAGAGCACATGAAACAATTTGTGTTGGGATCAAATAGGAAGGATAGTAAGGTGAATTTTTATTTGGTTTTAGTGTTTTTCTTTTCCAGTTCTCAGTTTCAGACCAAAATGTTGCTTTTGACTGTTTTCAGGTCTTGATTTCATCCGGGCTGAAGGGTTTGTGTTTTCTCACGTGGCTGATGAAGGGATTATAAATGCCTGTGCAGGTGACCTGCTACGATACAGAAAACACATTGGAGCAGACAACATTCAGATTTTTGCTGATATTAAAAAGAAGCATAGGTAAATACAAACAAAATTTTATGTAAATATGAATGCAATCATGATCTTATATTTTTCTCCATTTTCTGGGTTTCTTTAATGTCAATTTTCTTCCAGGGAAGTTAATCACATAGGGAGAAGTTTATTATTTGAGCATGGACTTGCAGTGCTGTAAGGAGATACATTTAAAAATAAATTTGCAGCTGTAAGTTGCAAGTTGCTTTATCTGTGATGTTTGTAGCTGTTTAACCCTCAGGTTTTCAGTGTGCCAGCTATGAAAGCCTTGCATCTGGTATTGAGACTTTGTGTGCATGTGTAAATGTCTATTATGTTTAAAGAAGTTTTGTTTCTGAAAGTTAGGTATCCAAGGTTATTTTTTAGTTATGAAGGCAGATGCCATATAAAAGCATCCAAGTTATCATACTTTGGCATTTTAAAAAGCTCTTCCCTTTCTTCTCCTTCCTGCCAATAGTACTGATTCCTGCTACTTAAATCAGTGCTGTCTATGTAAGGGTTATGTTCTGTGATTATCAAACAGAAGGAACTTATGACAGATAAATCCAGTTTCTTTTCTGCTTGTACTTTATCTTACCTGTCACATGGTACTTTCAGCTATTTAGATGTCAGTCTTTGGATTAGTGGTTTTTTTTTTCCCCAGAAGAACTGCTCAGGTGCTATGTATTATACATGCTAAATAACCTAATTAAAATGTTTGTGTGTAGTATGTGAGCAATCATGAGAATAATCAGTTTGGAAGATCTTAAATATGTAATAAGCAGGTAATAAATTTCAAAAGAGAAAGGAAACAATGCAGTGTGATGGTCAGATGAAGCTTTTCAGGTCCTTTCAGAGCAGTTTCTTTCTGATGATTTTTTAACATGTATATATAAATGCAAATACCCTGCATTAGACTTTCTGTTAATGAAATTGCATCATGTCATTTTTATTCTTAGTCTTGACAATTGATGAATTGATATTTGGATTATACTTCCCATTTTTCAAAGAGTTGGCCTTTAAGAAAGGCAAAGAAGTTCTTTTTTCAGGCAGAAGCATAAGCTCAGAAGGAAATGCTGAAGGACTTCTTGGTTGAGCTTTTTGATGTAGAAAAGCGCAGCTGCCGCTGAAAGCTGCGACGCTCCTGCTCTTTAAATGAGGAGAAACTGTTCTTGTGCCACCAGCACTCAGCAGTGCAATGTGTTTGCCATAGCTATTGTTTTCTATTTAAATACAGAAAATCCAACAGTGTTGGATGTTCAGCCAGCAAAGGCTGGAATTCTTTCCGAGTTTGGGACCTCATCAATTAAGAGCTGCTATTGCAATGGGTTTCAGACAAAGTGTGTCACCCATACATCAAAGCCTGCTGTTGAACAGCTGGGATGCAGGTGTAATTGATGCTTGTAATTGCTGTGTAAGATGATTCCTGTGGTTATATCATAGATATTAACTATACTTTCTGTTATTGGACTTGTGGAGGTTGTTGATTCTGCCCTAGGCAACAGGATCTGGTTTATAAATGAGGGCACATCACAACTCCCACTTGAAGTCAGAGAGCGCTGTGTGCTCAACACTTCTGAAATACAGGTGCTTGACATGTAAGCAGCTGTCTCAATTGACACTTGGTGGTTCACACTTAGCACTCACACTCTAGAGCCAGGAGACCCGCAGCAATCACCAATCAGTGAAGGAAAAGGTTGGTTTTCGACTCCTGCTCGGGTGGCAGTGTCCCCTGGTGGCAGCGTCACCTGCCACTGTGCAGCTGGACGCTGCTAAAGCAGCCCCTGGGGGTCCTGCCAGCGGGAGGGCGGGAAGCAGGGCGTGGGTCCCTCGTGTGACAGGCTGTGTCCCTGCAGTGCTCACGCCCTGACGGCCGATGTCAGCGTGGCGCAGACGGCGGACGCTGCCCAGCTGTTCCTGGCCGACGGCGTGGTGCTGACCGGCACGGCCACCGGGCACCCCGCTGACCCCCGGCAGCTGCGAGGTGAGCAGGGCACCCCGCTGGGCACCGGGAGGGGGTGCTGGGCACGAGGGGCTCTCACTGTGCTGTCACCAAAGGTATCGGGGACAAAGGTGATACAGAGCCTCCATCATCAGAAGGCATGTTGTTCGAAATTCACAGTTCTCATAGAAACAATGTAGACCTAAGGCCTGATTGGCCTTTAGTAATCTTCTCTCACCTGTTGGCCAAGAAGGGACAACTCCTTCTTGTAAACATCTTTGACAAACAGAGATTGCCTGCCAGGTGCAGAGATTGAGATAATAATCGTTTTAACTCTTTCTCACAGCTTCCCAGGAAAATCCTGGGAGAGCTGTGTCTCTCTCTGTTCAGAGAATATGTGATAACCACACTATGGGGTTTGATTTGATCAGAATGATCATATTGAAGGTGTTACTTAGATGAGCTGTGGTATGTTTCTATACAACAGTTTGGCAGGGCAAAAATGACAATTATTCCAAGCTTTTATAACACTGAGTGATGCCAAGGCTGAAAGAACATACTGTTTCATTTGTAAATAGCCCTAATATAAGAAAAAGCCATTTTATAACCCTAGAAAACTAGCTATACTAAAACTAGCCATATTAAACTAACTAGATAACCATAATTCTTTCCACTGCAGAGATTGCAGTTTTCACCTTTCACAGTGGAAATGGAATTCCTGCAAGAAAAGCAGCATTTTGATAAGGCAGCGTTCCAAACATTAATACCAGGGAAAGTACTGCTTGGAAGATTTTCAGAAAGAATACAAATTCTTTGGTAGACAGGAAGATATTAACATCAAAATAATTTTTAACTAGTGTGGACTTTTTGTCAAGGGAGACTCATTTGACCTATGAGTTCTGACCTTTGCAGAAGTGCTATGATTCTTGATATTTTTGTATTAGCATCAGTTTGGGCTGTGTTCATGAAACAGTATTGCTCCCATGCTGGAATTAAAGTTCTGTCATGGGGACATTTAGTTTTCATCACTAGTTTTAATTTAGATCAATGGCTGGAATTTGAATGTCTCACTACATAAAATAAAATGTGTATTTTTTTAGGTTTTACTTTACCTGACATGCTGTAACTTGGCATGTTTTGAAGTTCCAGTGCACTGTGTTGTATTCAACTTAAATTAGGAGATAGCATGAAAAACATATTTTACCTGTCAGAGATAACCTGGACCTCAAGAGATTGTATTTGTATCTTTTGTGTTGTATTTTTATATCTTTTGAAACAACATAAAATCATTCAGTGTTTTCAGGGCTTTATGTATATCACACATGCTTAAGAGCATTTAAAATGAATGTTGAACTTGTCAAAATGGTTCTTATTTCACTTTTTGCTAAAAAAACAGATTACAAATTGCTCTGCCTCAGTCACCAATCTTAAAAAGAAAATGATGGCTTGGTGTGAACACTGAGCCTCTTGCATTAGCTGGGTCTTTTGGTACAGCAAATTAGAAATTATGCAGGTGGAACAGGTGATACTGGAAGCTATGCCTGCTTTAAAGACTGCAAATTTTTGTTAGTCTAGAGATCCATCTGTTTGTACTTAATGTCTCCACTGTTATTAATGTAGATCAAATAACTTTTAAAAATATTTTATATGTCTTTGGGCAAAATCCTAGGTTAAATTCTGCTTTCATGCAACCTCCATTGATTTACTGCATCAGAGAGCAAAACCTGACCTGTGGGCCCAGAGGCTTTTTTGTCACAGGACCCCAACCAGACAGAACCATAGCTTTTGCTTTTCTTTCATGTGAACAAACTTGTCAGTCCCTGTCTCTTTCTCTTTCTGGGTCCAAAGAACAAAATGAATCAGAGTTGGCAGCTGTAATGAAGTACACATTAATTCTGTGTTTGGATTTGTGTTATGAAAGCAGGAGTGTGCAGATCATGGGTTTATTGTACTTAGATCACAGCATTTTGGATGTTAGCAGGCCCTCTCATGAGAAAGATGTCTTAAAACAGGTAAGAGAAGAACTTTAAAAATTCCACAGCATAAAAAAAAGACAAATTAGGCATATCTATGTCAGGAAATTCTTAAAAAGAGATCAGATCTACAGTCTACAAAGTTGGTGATGATGTGAGTGAGATTCTGCATTTCAGGAATTTATGCAGCCCCGGCAGTGCCGTATTACGGTGATACAATTGGGCACCTTTCATCACACTGCAAAGCAGCTCTTGAAAGCAAAGCTGAGAGACAGATGAGATTTTTGTCATGTCTCTTTTTCAGCTTTGTTGTGCAGTAATATAGAAGTGGTTTTGTCTTTGTGTAGAATTGATTGATTTGTGATGGGCTGCGGGAAGTGTTTCCCTGTCAAGGCAGAGATGTGTGTTCAGTCAGGTTTTGTTTGCAGTTTGTGTTGCTGCCTTCTGGAGGCTGGCAGGCTCTGCTCCAGGGCTGCCTGGGCACTCCAGGGCACTCCCCACTCCAGAGGTAGAGGGAGTATGAGGTCTGAAAAATTAGGCTTCATGTTGTTAAGGAGCAAGAACTATAGCTGAGCATTTTGAATTCATTAATAAACCATCTTTTCATCTAAGAGGTTATAGAAGTTCCAGTTTCCTCCCTTGTGGAATATTCTTTTGTTGGATGTGTGAACCCATCAGGTTTTTTGACTGCTGAAATACCTGCTTTGCTGAGCATTTTGAATTCATTAATAAACCATCTTTTCATCTAAGAGGTTATAGAAGTTCCAGTTTCCTCCCTTGTGGAATATTCTTTTGTTGGATGTGTGAACCCATCAGGTTTTTTCTTGGGCTATGACTGCTGAAATACCTGCTTTGAATTCAGTTTGTATTTTGAGTGACCAGAGCTTTGCATGACTGCTCAGTTATCTCTTTGAACAAAACAAAGTGTCTCAGCTTAGTAACCTGTGGAAAACAGGTACATAATGAAATCCAACAGCTGGCTGTGACTGTCACCTCCTTAATTACTGTTCATAAAAGGGGCCTCAAGTCACCTCTTCTCATCTTTTGATGGCTAAAATAGAGACTGCTTCCTGTGTGATACCCTCGGAGATAGAAAAAGTACTGATCACTCACATCTCCTGTTTAAGCCCTAAATTTAATGACAAAGTCCTTTGAATTAAAAACCTAAAATGTGTTAAGAGGGGAGCATTACCATAAACATAGTGTTGTGTATGGTACAGTGATCACTGCAATGAGAAAGCTGTTAGAGAAGAGTAGTCAAGCAAGTTATTGGCACAGTGGTGCTTATTTTTACACCACTCTTTGCCATTGTTTTCAAGCTAGGAGCACTTGGCCTTTATTTCATGAAACTTGTGCATACCATAGTTCAAATGCTTTCATTCTGCTTTTCAACCAAGCACAATTTCATTGGGTTTTATTAAAGACCTGTGTGCAGCTGTGCTGCCACAAGAAAGAGCACAGTGCCCTCTAGTTACAGTCCACTGGAACAGAGAAATCTGTGTAAACTTCAGCATCTTGTTACTGTGACATCACAAAATTGTTTCCTTTTTCTCACTGTGTCAAAAAAAAAAAAGTCAAAAAGAATTCCAGGAAAACAGAGATTTGAAGCAGAGCTCTGTGTTTAGAGATATTTTGACAGTGACTGAACATTGCCACACAAAAGCACATCTCACTGCTGTTGCTTTATTTTTTTTTACAGGTTAGAATTTGTATTAGCACAGCCAATAGACAAATCACCTTCTACTAATCAACTTTAGGCCCTGATGTGCTTGGAAAGGACTTAAAGTAGCATCTGTAGCACACTTAATGAGGTAACACATGTCAGTGCACACTGAGCACTCCCTTTGCCATTCTTCACATTGTCATTCTGGATAGATCTGCAGCCCAGGAGGTGTGTGTGCAGTCTGTGTGTCACGTGTGGGTCACAGCAGCACTTGATACCTTCCCACTCTGGAAGGCTTTGGGTTGTTCTGGAGCTTCACATCAGTCTCAGGTTTCACTGGGTTTTTCTCTTTGCCCAGCAGGGCTGAGCTGTTGTCTCAGACCCATATGAACTTGCTCTGTTTAATTATTTGGCTCTTAGTTCTTCCTGCTGATATGAAATAATTATGAAGCAACTCCCTGCTAACTTGCTTTACGCACTTGTAAGAACAAATATCGACTTGGAGCCTGGTTCCTCTGGGGATTCAGTCAAGTACTGTCACAAATCTGTGGTCAGATGCACCTTAATTGTGTGCTGGTAGTGATGTAAAGCAGTTAGAATATTCCTAAGAGCATATAGGTATTATATAAATAAAATTTAATATAAATACAAAATAAAATTTAAAATAAATATCCTGGGTTTTAGAACAGGATATTCATAATAATGCTATAAGTAACTAGAAATATTTTGTTGCTGTAAGCAGAATGACTATCAAAAATGCATAGAAATAACTTAAGTTTTAATCATATATGCATGAGCCATCTGATTTGTTGTATATTTTCAGGAAGGGCTGTGTTGAATGGTTTTATTTTCATGTTAAAATCTTTTTAAGAGGGAGTTATTGTTCCTAGATGGAAAAATGGTAGCGCATGTGACCTGAAAAGAGATTCAAGAACATTTTAATTGATCCCCTTTCTTCAGTGAAGTAGGAAGGTGATAAATAATTAGTCTTCCCTGAAGCATAATTAATAAGTTAGGCTTCTGATGAAACTTAATTTAAGCAGTGTTTTGAAGCAGACTTTTATTTGTTGCATGTGTGCTTTCCCAAGTTACCTCAAGCTATTACTACCTTGCCATCAGCTTATCACTAATTAAGCCAATTTATATGTTTTTAAAGGTCAGAAATAATGGCTCACAACATTCCCCTAAGGGATGAAGCATCCAGTCCTATGAGTCACTCTTTGTATGGTCAGTTTGACATAAAATGATGAGAAGGCTGCTTAAGTAATTCTTGAACTGGGCTTTTTTTCCCTCCTCCCAAAGCTAGTACTGTATTTTGAGCCTTGTTTTTGTCTGTTTCTCCTCTTGAAACCAGGTGAAAGCTCAGGTGATTAAATAACTGTATATAGGAAAAAGAAGATGCTTTTTTATTCCATTGTCATTCCTCATACTGATAAAAGACCGCTTCTCTTTCTGGCTTTTGCTTTCTGGAAAAACTAGCTGAGCTGTCAGTGGTGCCTGTATGATCCCTGCTCTCTTTCATACAAGCAAATATAGGAAGAATTCCAGACAATGGAATGTAAAAAGTAAGGGTTTTTTTTCTAGAGAACCTGTTTCATTCTGCAGTAGAAATAATAAATACCACAATCACAATTTTCTCGATACATTTTTTTTTTCTGTTGAAAAACTAGGCAAATTAGAGTGTTTATGGAGAGTTTCAAAGACAGGAATTAACCCTGATTTTGGTTTTCTTCTCCTCAGAGGTTAAGCGTACTGTGAAGATTCCTGTGCTCGTTGGGTCTGGAGTGACTCTGGAGAATGTGAGGAATTACTTGGATGCAGATGCTCTAATAATTGGTTCCTATTTCAAGAAAGGAGGATATTGGGCAAATGCTGTTGATCCTGACCGAGTCAAGAAATTCATGGAACACATAAGTAAACTGAGGGAATGAGTTTATCAGCAAACACTGTTTGTTTGTGTTTGTTTGTAGAAATGCAGTGTGGTACGTCCTACGGAATTAAAGCACGAATGCGTGGCCGAATGGCAAATAATACCAAATAAAAAATGCACATCATTGCCATAACTAGCTTGGTGACATACTTCACAATAACCTGGTGCTCTGATGTTTGCTTCTAGGCAGCACATTTCTGTGGTGCTCAAAGCTACCATCAATGCAAAGCCAACTCTGAAGTCTTGTGCGAGATACTCTCTCCCATAAGTCAAACGCTTATGGAGTTTAAGAATTTTTAGAAAGTGTTCATCACAGGTGAGCTGAGTTCTGTTTTGCCTTTAAGTGCAATAGGATGCCCTAAGTTTACAGCTAAAAGTGTTGTAAATTGGACAAGTTAATTAGCCTTTCAGTTTCCCCATCTGTAAAATGATGATAATAGCACCTACATCACACAGGGGCCGTAAGACATAATGAAGGAAAGAATGTACAGCACTTTAATCTCTCCAAATTAAGGGCTCTTTTAAAGTTCAAGATCATTATTTTTTCATTAGAATTGTGCATTTATACAATTGCTACATTTTTGTAATACCACACAAAAATTTAAGATAATTGGGGTATTGATTTACTTACAATACTTATTAGAGAATAAATGTAAATATTTAATTACATTTTAAGTAGATTTGGAATGTAGTCAAAATGCTTTTGCAAAAACTGGAAATTTTAATAAAGGTTTATTATTTTTCAGCAAGCACCTGCAGCTTTGTACCTCTCTAGACTAGTAATAGTGATGTAAAAAACTTCCTTGGAATACACAAGGTATAATTACAATAGAAACCTTTCTACCAAAGCCACAGGTAAACATGGATTTTTATTTTTCATGTAAAATGTAGAGGAAAAATATTACAGTCTCACTGTGTGTGTTGTAAGAGAATCCCCTTGAATTTGATCCTTTAGCTCTAAGGAATCTTAGAAGAACCCAAGGAATATCTGTTATGTCATGGCTGCACAGAATGTGGGTGTTTGTTTTCATTCCTTGGGACTGGGAGCTCAGTTGGTCCTCTGGGATCTCTCTTTTTCCTTGACATGTACACATCAGGCTTGTGCTGATGCCAATGAAAGTGAAATTGTGGATATCAAAGCAAGTATACAAACATGGGGTTTGTGGCAGCTGGCAGAGCACCCATGCTCCTCTGAACAAGATACATCCTCCTTCCAAAGACAAAAAGATTTTCAAGATACTTAGTTTTGTTAACATAATGGTGATTCCAGAACATCACAGTATGAGGCTGTCTTCCCAGATTTCTTTTTTCTGGACTGGTCTGTTTCCCACATGACTCCCACCAAAAGCAGTGAAATCTCTTTGGTGTGTTGCCCTGCTGGAAAAGATGTTCTTTAGGCCCTGTGGCAGCCATGGCTTTTCTCCCTTTGTCTCCTAAATGCACTGACACAGCTTCAATGCACAGAAATCCTTTCACGTGCCTGGTAGTTATGGCTGGCACTGCTTTGTCAGAGTTCACGTTTACACAGGCACTTTAAACCTGTCTTGTTGTGCTTCCCTCAGAACCAACAGTTGTGTCCCAAACCCATCCCTGTGACCTTACAGGACTCAGGATTCTAGCTGGAACCTAACCCAGCTTGTACCAGCCACACTCAGGGGGTGGGGAAGGGAGAATTGAGGTCATCTTCCTGAGTCCTTGCATCTGCAGCTTGCTAGGCTGTTGATAGAGGCAGTGCAGAACTATTTAAGGATCATTAAGATGTTTCTGAATTTGCATTCCACACAGCCACAGTATCTGCCAGGTAAAGCAATGATCTGGTTTAGTCTTAAAATTCCTAGCCTGAGTAATAAATGTTATTTTATGTCCTGTGTATTGTGAAAAACACCATATTAAAATAAATTCACTTAGTAGTAATATCGGTCTGCTTAAATCTTTGTGCATTTAGGAATGTTTTGTGTATGTTTCCATACAGCATTGCACAGAGGATGCAGTGAAGATTGTCTCAGCAGTATGCACTAATACAATTGTTACCAGCTTTGGAAGTTAATTTTCAGTAAACCTGTGAGCTTGAAAAGCTGACATGCAAGCAATGAGCCCTGGTGCTCTAGTACCACAAGAATAAAAATCTTTAGTCAGCTGAAAACTACAGCAGGTGTACTGGTAAGGATTGTTCAGTGGTGATAGTTGTTTTCAAAGAAACTGGTGCCTGTTGTCAAAAGTCACATTCACCACTGTGAGTATAAGAATTTTGTGGTTGCCAGTGTCTTTATTGAATTGGTTTCTACTCACATTCTGAAAACTCAGAAGTGCCTGAAACTCAAATGGGTTTTCATCTGAATAAAAGGAGGGGGTGAGAACTTCCTCAGTACTGTATGCAAGGTCCAAAGGCAGTAATGTTATATACACAGTAGCTGTTGAAGACAGAAGCCTCGGTGAGTTGGTGTAATACTCATAATAATGCAGTGAATATTGTAGACAGCACTTTCACTGCCTGGATTTCATGTAACACACTGTGTGAGGAACACCAGCACTGTGGAAGGAAGAGGTCATAATTTGGGTCTGTACTGTTACATATGAAAGGTAAGTGCAGAATTCAGGGAACAGAAGTAAAGGAGAGCCGATTTTCAAGCTTGAAAATGTGACTGATCACCAGCTCTATATCATTCTTTGAGCCAAAAGTATTTGTCTAGCAGCATTAAGCATCTGCTTGCCTGTTTCACACAGATGCTGTAAGTAGAATTTGACCTTTTGTTCAGCAACTGTTTGAATATTTAACGTGAAAATATTAAGTTATCAGAAAGGCTGACTCTTTTGGGAAGACTGTTCAATTTTTATACAACCCAAGTTGTTAAAGTACTTTGGAGCATGAACAACTTCAGAGCAGAACAAAGCAGCCAGTGCTAATGTGTAGAAACTCCAGAAGTAAATAACAGCTGTTCAAGAAGACTTCTATTAAATATGTATTAATTAACTTGAAGTGCATCACTTAAATATGTGAAGAGATTATCTTGTGTTAATTTACATTAAAACACACAGCACTTGTTAGCCTCATTACACCACCCTAAGTATATCCTAAGCTATCACCTCATCTTACACTGAGCGTTTTGTTGGGTGTTGATTGCTTTCGATTTGCCCTTTTAAAATGTCAGATAGTGGCCTCCATTTCTTGTTGGATCTCTTCTTTCTCAGGTTATGCTCTTGCATAGTAGCTGTTACTTGTGTCTGTTCTGTGCTGAGCAGAAAGAAAAATAACAATAGGTTGTGAAAATATAGTAGTAATTGCCCACCCAGACTTCACAGATGCATCCTGCTGTTAACCTATGAACCAGCAGAGATTGTAAGTGTCCATTTGTATAGGAAAATTATTTTATATGAAGATTCAGTATCACCTTTGAACCAGGAAAGATAAATAGTGAAATGGAGTCTCTTTAGTGAAATTATAAATAAAACACAGTGCTAATAATAGTGGTCTAAATCAATGTGTCAGTCTTCATAAACTCCCATTCCATCCATAAAACAAGTATTTAGATGGACTTAAGTAAAAACCCATCTTTCTATTTTGGTGCTGAAAATATATAAACTTACAAGATTTTATTTAGTGTCATTTTAGCAGCAGATCCAGCTACTGGGCTGTTCTTTTTTCCATTATTTTGACTCCACAGACTCCCTGATCACAAGTTAGAGTTCAGTTCTTTTTTCTCACACCTATCCCAGCACACTCCTCACTAGGGGGAGACTGAGGATAGTGAGAACTCACAGGCAACCCTGGCAGAGCAGGAAGGGCAAATGAAACCAAAATATTTGGCTTTAGCAGAACATTGAAGTCCTGGACAAGTTGCTCCATTGCATGGCTCTCCTGGGAGAAGTGAGTGGGGCTGTTTACTTTCAGGTTGTTTGCAGCCTCTTCAATTAAGACTGTGAGTTTGCACCTAGGTTGTGTTTGCAAAATTGTCTTTGCTGTATTTGTGCTTAGGGTGACATTTTTTCCTAAGTGAAAGCTGGTTTGCAAGGTAATGATAGCAATATGGGAAGTGCTACCTGTAGAGAAATCCAGACTTGGAATTCGCAGCCCTTTGGTTCAAGAGCAGATTTAAATATCTCAAAAAAAAAACAAAAAAAAAAAAACCCCCAAACAAAAAAAAAAAAAAAAAAAGAAAAAAAAAAAAAAAAAAAAAACCCCAAAAAAAAAAAAACAAAAACAAAAAAAAAAAAAAAAAACAAGAAAAAAACCCCAAAAACAACAACCCTTTAAAGGTGACTTAAATGAAACCTTCACTGTCTTTGCCCTGACATCCAGACAGTGTTTGCTGTGCTGAGGAAGTTGAGTTTAGGAATAGAACTGACTGTGGCTTTTTTCTTGTGCATTTACAGTGCTTATCGCTGTGACTTAAAGGATGTATTTTTCAGAAATGGTGGAGAACTGGGCTGAGATACTGTTTTGGTGGGCTGAAATGCCATGGTGTGTGTAGTAGAATTGACCATCTCTGCAGTGAAGATGTTTTTCCTAATATCAACCTAAACCTCCCCTGGTGCAGCCAAACTAAAAGGCCAGGTGGTCTCTAGTGAGATCTTGAGAGCAGTAGATGCTTTTTCACCCTAAACTTTAAAAGCACAGAAAATTAAAGGTGGAAAAAACCTTTCTGCAATGCAAACAGGAAAGCTTTCACATGAGGTAAAAGGGTTGCAATTCACAACATAATCTGATTCTTTGCTTACAGTTAGAAGCTTTAGAAGTAGTAGAGCTAAGGAGAGCCTAAGATGTTTCTTGTTAAACACTTAAGGATAGGAAAAGACGTGTGAGGGTAATTATCTTGATTAAAAAAATTGATCATCTTAAATAGGTATTTTTCAAGGTGCTAAAAAGGGATTTTGCTGATTTGGGCTGAAACTACTACTCTCTATCTATGTTTAACTCCTCTCTTGCCTGTCACTCAAGTTTTTGTTGTTTCATGAAGTAAATTCAGTGTCAGCCAGCAAATGTTAGTGTTTTATAAATTCTTTTTTTTTAAAAGATGTCACTCCTTTAAAAATGAGTGATTCATTAATGAGGGACGTTCATGAATGGGACAGAGAAGCTGTTTGGTGCATGGATTACTGGGTAATTGGGTGTTTTGTATATTAAAATGCAATTTCTCCCTCTGTCCTACCACCTGTGCAAAGAGAGATGGACTATCCAGTGTAGAGAGTAGGAGCTGCTGAACTGTTGGGTATTTAGGACCTTTTTATTACTCAGTGAACAACACTAAGTGTAAAAAAAAATTAAAAATATATGTTTAAATTTGGCAAATCTGATATGAAACCAAGTGTTCAGGATAGTAGTTAAACTCAGAATTGTTTGACTTTGTACCTGGTCACTGTGTTAGATGTGCTATGTCATGAAAGAGGTCACAAAACAGAGAACATTGAAATCGTGTTTCATACAAATGTAGGAGGAATCCTAAATTCAGCAGTAAACAGAAATGAAAAGGAAGGCAGCACAATAAGGGCAAGAAAAGATGCTTAAGTTTCCCACAGTTCCTGCCTCATTGTTTATTCCAGCTTCCTGTTTTTTCAGTCTGCTTCTCAAGCCTTTCTTGTGCATATACACAGATTATAGTATGCACAAGAATAAGCTGAAGGCAGAAACTGACTTAATGAAGACATTCTTGTGCGAGAGAAAAGATTTTGTTGTCCACAGATGCGCAAAGAAAAACAGAAAAGCAGCTGCCCTTAGAAATGAGTAAAAGTAGAGCTGAGTGCCACGTCATGATGC